CGCCCGCGGGCAGCGCATGCTGGGAGCTGTAGTTCCCGTTCCGGCCGGGCCGCCGCCGGGCCTAAGGCGGCCGGGGGGCGAACCAGAGCAAGGAACGGCTGCCGGAAGGACACCCTCCCCCGGGCCCTTTCCCTCCGAGCGGCACCAGGGGCTGCTCGTACCGCCACACGGTCCCGCGGGGACAGGTATCGGCAACAGGATCCCGCTCGAAGGGCTCAGTCCACGCAACCCCCATACGACACATCCGTTCCACACAAGAAGCGCCAAGCAATTTTATTCTAAAGAAAAAAATGAGATTCTGGAACAACATAAACTGTTCCCGAGGCATTTAGAGCACAGAAATAACGTTTTTCGCAATGTTTAGTATCAGCATTGAATCTGTGATTTCCTTCACGTGAGCGCAACGCTACACAAACTACGAATTTTACTCACGTACAACTACTCACACCCCATTCTGCACATACGTTCAGAAATAAAGAGGCTGGGTCCCTAAACAGCCCCTTTACAGCACAGCTCTCCCTCTACCTGCCAAAATTCTGTGAAAGGCTGACAGCTAGACTAATAGTACAACAAACCAATAAATTAGAAACGTAGGAAAATAAAGTTCTCTAGAGCTGAATATTGGCTGACCGACCAAACGGGGAAGAGGGGAAACGTTCCGTGAGGGCAGCTCACGCCCTCCAGCTTTTGCTTCTTCCTGGACAACGTTATTTCAAAATCTGGAAGTCCTTATGCTCCAGCGCCGTGATCTTCTTCTCGTTGCTGAACTCGGCTCGGCTGATGCGGGACTGGGGACTTCCTATCTTCCTGAGCCATTCCTGCAGCTCCCGTACCCTGGCAGCCGGACCCTGGATTCGTCCTTGCACGGTGCCGTGGCTAGTATTCTGGACCCAACCAACGAGCCCTAGTCTCTTAGCCTCCCCCTGAGAAGACAATGCAGAGCAAAATGAGATGAACCCGAACTGCAGGAGAGCTACAGAATGACGTTCACATACAGGAGTCAATTTTATGGGCACGACACAGACCTCCAGGGAAGTTCCTACGGCCCAGGCAGCAGGAAAGCAGCAGCGGACTCGGCCGACTACTCATTAAATCCTTTCGCGTGAAAAACTGGGGCAGAAACGCACTTTTCAGCCGTGCTTACATAACGCAGCACAGACCGCCAGCAGCACTGAGAGGCGACAGCCCCCATTCAGAAGGGGAAGGAGCCCGTCCGTGGCTCAGCCCCACCGAGGCG